ATTCGAGTTGTATTTTTCATTTCTTCTTTTAGTTCTTCTTGTACGAACTCAACATTTCAGTCAGTTCATAGGTTCCCGTTGTAATTTAAACACACATTGTGTAACAAAAATCGTGATAGTTCAGATAGGAAATAGTTTTTTACCATTGTTTTTTCAACAGAAGTATATTGCATTTCATTTTTCCAACATTATATCCAAGTGTGGAGAAAATTATTTGGCCTTGCCTTCACAAGAAGAAATCTTTTCTCACTCTTCTTCCCACACAGTTTTACATGCTAAAGAGTTGAAATACAAGCCTGGAAATTTACAGGAGACCCCAGGGCACAAATACACATTTAAAAGAACTACACATAAGCACCACATCAGAGGAACATAAAAGGAACAGGAAAATAATAAATAATACAAAAATAATATTAAGTATCTGAACACTGCCTCTTAAAAAACTACCTAAACACATTTACAAAATTTCAACAACACAAAAATAGATCACAAAAATGAGCAGTGGATCTCATAACTATCTGCAACCGTGTACCGGCTATAGACGAGAGGGCCTCGACCCGGTTTCGCATCACAAAACTTAGGCCTTCTCACGAGGACGTGAGGACCAAACCGAATTTAAAGCCCGAAGACATTTCAAGTACTCACCCAACCCAATGAGGGCCCGAGCTGCTTGACGAGGCGTGAGAATTCGCAAGAGCTGCTGAAGTGTTTCTTGCCGGAGATGATCCGCCTGTTTTTCACAATCCACGAAAGAAATAATATGTTTTACACATATAAAAATTTGAAAAAAAAAAAAAGAAAATATAAAAAAGCACCATTATGTTCAACAGTTTATGAGATTACACAAACAAGTTGAGAGTTATTTGTTACTATAATGTGAAAATGTGTATTGTTACCTGAGCCACAAACCTCACGAGAGCTTCTAACTTATCGACAGCAGCTCGAATGTGTGGGCCATAGCTGTCTTCGCCCAGTTTTCTTCCGGCTATGGTCTCCGCAAGAATTATGTGAAGTTTTTCCATCCCTTGTGATAAAGCATCCTCTGCCTGCTGACACGATTGCGCCAGATTACATACATCCAATTGTTGTTGTTCTGATAACGGATCGAGATGTGCTCTCAGAACCTGCTTCGTGCATGTATAAATCAGATATCGAAAGTTTGTTTTCTTTGTAATAATAAAGTTTTTGAATTTACTTGTAGAGAAATTAAAAATAAAAAATAAAAAAAAAATTAGGATCTCAATTCTCAAAGCAAAACTTGGAATAATACCCTTAGAATTTCTGATGGCCGAAAGCCGCCTATCCAGAGGAAAAAACGTTCGGCCGGCGTTGTCCACAAGCCCGACATGATGTAGAAAACGTCAGCTTTTGCAGCAGTCGATTTCATCACAAAGAGATCAAAGTAATGCCTTATTCCACCATCGACGAGCGACTGAAGCTCCATATCCCCAACATTCGACTGCAAAGCATTCCCCAAAAAGGATATTTGTCTATTTAGTTCTTCCATCCATTGTCCGTACTCCGCCTCGAATGTAGCAATGGCTGTCAATGGAAAATGAAAAAGAAGCCTTTATTCATACAGAAAGTCATAAAGTATCTCTGAACTTAATGATGGTAAGTTAACGAAAATGTTCAAATATGATTATACAAACCTGGATTTGTAGTTCCTACACATCCTAGCTGAGTAGTATCTAAAGTGCCACCAACGTACAAACCCTGCAGCAGCAGCAAAGTACCACTTTAGAAATATGAAGTGTGCTGCTCAATTATCGCGAGCTACTACGTTTCGGTTTAAAAGAAAATATATAAAAGGGATCTCAAAATAAACAGAATACTTTTTTCACCTGTTGTCTGGCTTGTTGAAGCTCTTGTTCTAACTGAATAAGCCTCAATTTGCTATTTTCTAACTGCTGAACATAGGCCTGCACAAAAAAATTTAAGGGCATGCTAACAAATTTTTAGGTCTAAATGACTCACAAACAGAAAAATAACGTTATCTCCCAATAACACCCCTTTATACCTTCTTACGTAGACGGCTCTTACGAGCAGCCTCACGGTTTTGTGCCAAGCGTCTCAATACCTACAGACCGAAAAGTTCAATCCTCATCAAAATATTTATGAGAAACATAGGAACTCATACTATTAAAGTAACATTTTCTATAACGTAGACGAAAATGTGATTACATTTAGAACTGAGAAGAAAAAAAATTGTCACATAATTTATACCTTCTCAGGCTTACTTGCTTCTTGATCGTATTTATTGGAAGGACCAACTGTTCCATGTGAAGTATCCTCCGACTAGATAACATGCAGATAAAACGAGTCAGCTAAATAGTTCTGGCATGAGTCTTACAGGTATTGAGGAAATTAATTTTGTTTCACCTGGTTGTCGAGTTTAGCATCAACATCAAAAATCAACGGTGAAGATTCATCCAGACATGTTTTGCCTTTGAAATCACCCCACATCCCCATTTGATGGATCGGCTCATATATGCCCATTCGCCTCGCAGGCACGAATTGTGTTGATGCTGAGTTCATTCTCGTTCGGTGAACTAAAATGATTTCAACTTCCTTACCTTGAAAATCAAGAAGTACGCAGAAATCAAAGTTCAGTTTTACAAGCATAAATCAAGATGAACGGAACTGGAAAGGCATCACACATAAGTTGAAAATGAACAAAACCGCAAATCTCTAATCTTATCAAATCACCATAAAATCTTCAAAAGAATAGGGAGAAAAAACTGAAGACAAAAAGAAAAACGACTCGGCTAGGCCTATCTGTAGTCGTAAAGGTACGGGTTTATTTGATTTAACCCAAGGATATGATTTCGGCTAACACCCAACACAAGGAATGACAAATGAGAAGAATTTGACTTGATATTTAGAAGTAAAGAAACAGATTCTTATTAGTGCCTGACAGTGGCAATAGCACAAAAACAGAATAGTCATGTTAAACGGTTTGAAGCACGCCAATTCAAAAACGATGCACATGATAGACATCACAAACTAGATTTCACATATCTAACATGGACTGAATCAATTAAAGATGCCCGGAATCTAATTTTGAAAATCTTCGAGCATTGGATCCTTGACTTTTACCTGCACTCAATTATTCCCACTATCGTAAAACCGAGCCGAATTTTTCTTGATCATGGAGAAGCATGATATTCTTAACCGAACCCGAAAAAGGAAAAACACAAATATACAACAGTCATCATCATCATACAAGTAAAATATCAAACCAAAGGAACTGATGAAAATGATCACTTGTTCAAACTCGAGCACCAAATAGGTACCGGCTGACGAACACATAAACCCTCGGACACATAATTACACATATAAACACACACATGGGAAGAGAATGCAATAGACAGACCAAAACAATGATCTTGCTCAAGTCCATAGCTTATAGCTCTTTAAACATCAAGAAAACAAGACTCAGATTAGGAGCATGGACAAAGAGAAACGTGTAAAATAAGAGAGAAACAGCTAAACAGAGCTCTACCTAATGTGCAAGCCATAACAAAAACATAAGCTGAACAAGAAGAAGTCTCATTCATACTCTTTTCAAGAAACGTTTTAATAACAATAATATTCAGACACATCTCCTGCAAATACCCAATAACGAAAACTGCAAAAAAGAAAGAAGCAGATGACAATAGAAACCTTAAAAATCGAAATTTGGAAAAGCCCACTTCGATTATGAACCTCAAAACTCAAACGAAGCGCAGCTCAAGAGTCCGTACACCATGCGAGGCTCGGCGAAGACTAAAGAAGATGAAAATAGCTAACAAAGTTAGCTCGAATCGAATAAGATTGCGAACCCAACACACCCTTTTTACCGAAATATATTATTTCTAAATGCGAATTGTAATTCATTTAACGAAAAAACAAGAAAAAAGATGAGATTTTTAGAGGACAGTTTTTGTTATGAGAAGACAATTTTTTTGCATACTGAGTGCCATTACATTTACATTATATGCGTGGGGAAGGGGAATATTATACTTATGATATGATGTATTTACTGTGCGTTTATCTTGAGCGATAGTCAAAGGATACTAAAAAATATTTTAAATTTATTTGATGAATTAAAAAGAGGTGGTTGGTCACATTTCCACTAAGAAAAAAAACAAGAAAGCCACTAAATGTTATTAATATGTTTATGTTTTATATTGAATATGCGCACCAGGTCACACTCACTATGCTTACTTGGCTCTTTCAACCCCTTCATCTCCCATTTCCACAATATTAGAATCGGAGGAAGAGAGTGTGGTCCCACCAGATGAAACGCACTATAAGAGAAAGAGTCTAGATAACTTTAGTAAGGTTTCATCCCAAAATCAATTGGTGATGGGAGGAGTAGCCCACTAGGCTTATATACTAGGCTCATTTTTCTTATAGAATCAATGTGAGACAACTCACAAGTGATATTCCAACACGCCCCTTCACTTGTGAGTCCTTCATAAGCCAAAGCCCACATAACAGGCCGGGTAGAGAGATAAGCCCAAGTTTAGAGCAGGTCGGGTAGAGAGAGTCAGATCCTAGGACAAAGTGATATTCCAACACGCCCCTTTCACTTGTGAGTCCTTCATAAGCCCAAGCCCACAGAGCAGGCCCGGTAGAGAGATAAGCTCAAGCCTAGAGCAGGTCCTTCATGAGCCCAAGCCCACAGAGCAGGCCCGGTAGAGCGATAAGCCCAAGCCTAGAGCAGATCGGGTAGAGAGAGTCATTGCAGATGCTAGGACAAAGTGATATTCCAACACGCTCCTTCACTTGTGATTCCTTCATAAGCCCAAGCCCGCAGAGCAGGCCGGGTAGAGAGAGTCATTGCAGATGCTAGGACAAGCTCGCTCTGATACCATATTAGAACCGAGGGAAGATAGTGCGGTTCCACTAGATGAAGCGGAACACTATAAGAGGGTGAGCCTAGGTGCACCTTAGTAAACTTCCATCCCAAAATTAATTGGTGATGGGAGGAGTAGCCTACTAGGCTTATATACTATACTTATTTTTTCTAAAGAATCAATGTGAGACAACTCACACGTGATATTCCAACATCCCAACACACACAAAAGTTAAATTTATAATTAATTAATAATAATTTAATTAAATAATTAATAATAATAATTATTATTTATCTGAGGAGAAATTATTATTGAGTTAAGAGTCTCTTAACAGGCGTGTTTCCAAATATCTAACTGAATTTGGGGCAAATTCCACCCTACATAAGAATATATACTGTCCCACATGATAATAGTCGGATTATACACGGCTGCACGTAATTATGAGGATATAAGTGGATCAAACGGATAACACATTTGTGAGGTACAAGTGTACAACTTACGGGTAGGATAAATCATATCTAATATAAATTCAGGATGAAAAATTTCAGAAACATTGTTGTGGAAGTAATGTGAACTCATTCTCAAGTTTAGGAAGATGAGAATCACATTTTTTTTTTTTTT